TTTTTTTTTTTTTTTTTGTCTTCTTTAAAAAAAATTTTTTTTGATGGCAGCAGTGGGATATCGTTTCAGTCTTAAAAGATGGAAAGAGTCCCTGCACTTTGGGAAGTGAAGGTGAGAGAATTGCCTGAACTCAGGGGTATGAGACCAGCCTGGGCAACATGGCAAGACCTCGTCTATACAATAAATAAAAAAATCAGCCGGTCGTGGTGGCGTGCGCCTATAGTCCCAGCTACTTGGAAGGCTGAGGCGGAAGGATCGCTGGAGCCCAGCAGGTCGAGGCTGCGGCGGCCGGGAGTGTGCCACTGCACTCCAGCCTGGGCGACAGAGTGAGATGCTGACTCAAAAAATAAATAAATAAAAATAAATAAATCAAAGAAAAGGAAAGAAACAAAAGATGGAAAGAGCTATGGGCTGGACGGTGGTGGGGATCACACAGCATCACACACATCCTTAGCAACACGGAACCACACACTGAACATGACTAACATACAGCAGGTGCAGTGGCTCACACCTGTTACCCCAGCTACGGGGGAGGCCAAGATGGGAGGACTGCTGGAGCCCAGGAGTTTGAGGCCAGCCTGAGCAACACGGAGAGATCCTGTCTTCAAAAATAAAAAGGTTAAGATGGTAAATCTTATGTGTATTTTACCAAAACAAAAAGCAAAAAAAATTTTTTTTTTGAGTCAGAGTCTCACTCCATCACCTAGGCTGGAATGCAGTGGCACGCTCACAGCCACCCCAGCATTGGCCTGCTGGGCTCCGGCGATCCTTCCGCCTCAGCCTTCCAAGTAGCCGGAACTACAGGCGCGTGCTACTGTGCCGAGCTCATTTTTGATTTATTGTAGAGATGAGGTCTGGCCAAGTTGCCGGGGCTGGTCTCGAACCCGCGGGCTCAGGCAATCCACTCGCCTCGGCCTCCCAAAGTGCTGGGATGACAGGCTGAGCCACCGAGCCCAGCCAAAGTCTCACTCTTGCCACCCAGACTGGACGGCAGTGGCACGCTCCCGGCCACCGTAGCCTCGACCTGCTGGGCTCCGGCAATCCTTCCGCCTCCGCCTTCCAAGCAGCTGGACCCACAGGCATGCACCACCACGCCCGGCTAACTTTTTGATTTATGGTAGAGATGAAGTCTCGCCATGTGGCCCAGGCTGGTCTTGAACCCTCTTGCCTCCACCTCCCAAAGTGCAGGGATGACAGGTGTGAGCCACCACACCGGCTAATGTGCATCTCTAGGAAGCACCCAGCTGCTGGAACGATCATTCTGATGGTTTCATGATCTTGGAGTTGTACCAGCTTAACAGGGCAATGCCCACCGGATATTTTCAACTTGGGCCAAAAAAAAAAACTCTTGCCTTCTCAACACAAATGAAAGAAAGTCAAATTCACCACGACCTTCCTGCCTGTGTTCCAGCGAGTTTCAGGCTTCAGTCTACACTCGTGGGACGCAGCGACGATTCAGCCCTGCTCCTCAGTCCGCAAGGACCAGTCACAACCTGTCACCCATCTGCGGCTGGGCTGTGGCCGGGTCCCACGAGCGAGGGACGGTAAGACATGAGCTAGAAGGGGCCTCTTCAAAAGCCCGGCGGATGCCAGCCTCTCCCTGTCTCTCGGGTCCTGTCCACGGAAGGGTCACAGACGGGTTCTCTTGACCCTTGGCCGCGGGGAAGGTCCAGGGAATGGCGAGAGAAGTCTCTTGCTGGAGGTTTCCACTTTCTGGGGCCACATCGGTGATGGACAGGGAGGGTCGCAGTCGAAAAGCGGGCATCCTGGGGGGCTGGTTGTGCCCGCCGGCATCTGCCCTCTACTCACCTGCCACTATGGGGGGCACACCTCCAAGCTGCTTTAGTAAACACAGCACATATGAGCCAGGCATTCCCAGATGCCCTATGTGTATTGTTTTGTTTCAAATATGCATCAAAACTATGAGGCAAGTATTAAATATTCTTCTTAATGACAGATGAGGACAGCAAAGCACAGAGAAGTTAAGTAACTACCCCAGAGCCACAAGGCTGGTAAGTGGGCCAGCCAGGTCTCCACCCTGTTCACCCTCAGATTCCCCGCTGCCCCCTCTTAAAAAGATAGAGAGAGGAGAGAGGAGGGAGGGAGGGGGAGAGAGAGAGAGAGAGAGAGAGAGAGAGAGAGAGAGAGAGAGTATCTCACTGCCTTCCTGGCTACACTGCTTTCCTTCTGTGCCCTGACTGTGTAAATCGCCAGTTTCGCAGGCACACAGGTGTCCCCACCTTGGTTTTACAGGCTCACAAGATGACACTAACTGCCAGCCCAAGGCTTCTCCATCTTTCAGATCTCGATAAGGGAGGACCCCCCAAAAATCCCGGGAATTATCTTTTAGACAGCGGCCCCTTGTAGCACACCCGGAATTTGTTCCTTTGGATCAAATGGTCAACCAACGTTTTTATCTGGAAGTTTTAAGAAGGTTGCGTTATGATTTGTGGAAGACACGTCCCGAGTTGTGGCAAACAGATGACTGGTTCTTCCACCAGGACAACGCACCTGCCCACACCGCGCTGAGCGTTCAGCAGTTTTTGCCAAAAAGAACGGCAAGACCCCCGTGCCGCACCCTCCTGATTCACCCGATCTCGTCCTGAGCGACTTTTTTGGTTTTCCCGAATGAAAACGTCTTAAAGGGGAACAATTTGCCTATGTGGAAGAGGTGAAACAAAAAGCAGCAGAAGCATTAACAGCCATCAAAATTGATGAATTAAAAAACTGTTTTGGCCGGCTCAGTGGCTCAGCCTGTCATCCCAGCACTTCGGGAGGCCGAGGAGAGTGGATGGCCTGAGCCCGCGGGTTTGAGACCCGCCTGGTCAACTTGGCGAGACCTCATCTCTACGATAAATCAAAAATTAGCTGGGCGCAGTAGCGCGCGCCTGTAGTTTCGGCTACTCGGAAGGCTGAGGCAGAAGGATTGCCGGAGCCCAGCAGGTCGAGGCTGTGGTGGCCGGGAGCATGCCGCTGCACTCCAGCCTGGGCGACAGGGTAAGACTCTTGACTCAAAAAAAAAAAAAACTGTTTTGAGCAGCGGAGAAAGCATCTTGATGGGTGCATTGCATCAAATGAAGAGAACTTTGAGGGTGAATGAAATTTAAACATGTAAGAATAAATACACAATTTACGATAAATGAATTTGAGGTTTTGGGGGTTCCCTTTGTACTTGCATGCGAAATTCACCCACTCATTCCCTGTGTCCCCACCGTCTCCCTGGGAAAACCGGGAAGGTGAGCCCTGTGGACTGGCGCCCCTTACCCTTGCTGAGAGAATACCAGGAAGCCCCGTTGGTGATGCCGTCCGGGAAGTAGTCGCCACAGTGCCAGCCCTGGTACATCCAGCCGTGAGCATAGGAGTAGACCTTGGCCAGCTGGAGGGGAAGTGGGAGGGACCTGAGATCAGTTCCCAGCAGGCTCCTGACCTTGGCCTGCTGGAGGGGACGCGGGGAGGCGACCCCAGATGGCCGGCTCCTGGCGGGTTCCTGACCTTGGCCTGCTGGAGGGGAAGAGGGGAAGGGACCCGAGATCACCAGCTTCCGGCAGGCTGCCGCTCAGGACTGGGGAAGCTGGGACACCCTTCAAGGCATGGACAGACGATGACCTGCTGGAGTCAAGGAAATGCAACCAGGCAGAGAGAGGCGGGTGTGAGTGTGCGTGTGTGTAGGAGGGTGTGTGTGGCGGTCAGCGTGCACGTGGCAAGCGTGTGTGGTGGCCTAGAATTCGGGTATCTGTATTCTGACTTTTCTACTCTCTTGGGGCTAAGTTTCTTCACGAGCCAAGTGAGGGTGGCTCTAGAGGACACAGAAGGTCCTTCTTACCTCATCCTCTTCTTTTTTCTTTTTCTTTTTCTTTTTTTTTGAGTTGGAGTCTCACTCTGTTGCCCACACTGGAGGGCAGTGGCCGCTCCCGGCCACCGCAGCCTCGACCTGCCGGGCTCCGGCGATCCTTCCATCTCAGCCTTCCGAACAGCTGGAACTACAGGCGCGCACTACCACGCCCGGCTAACTTTTTGATTTATTGTAGAGATGAGGTCTCGCCAAGTTGCCCGGGTGGGTCTCGAACCCGCGGGCTCAGGCAACCCACTCACCTCAGCCTCCCAAAGGCGCGGGATGACAGGCTGAGCCACCGAGCCTGGCTTCTTTTTTTTTTTTTTTTTTTGAGTCAGAGTCTCACTCTGTTACCCAGCAGGCTAGGCTCAGGTGATCCTTCCACCTCAGTCTTCCAAGTAGCTGGAACCACAGGCATGTGCCACCACACCCGGCTATTCTAAATTTATTGTAGAGACGAGGGCTTGCCATATGGCTCAGGCTGTTCTCAAACCCCTGAGCTCAAGCCATCGTTTCGCCTCTGCCTCCCCAAGTGCTGGGATTATAGGCTTGAGCCACTGGGCCCGGCCACCTCGTCGTTTTCTAGCCAAATTTTGTAAAAGAAATCAAGGAGCGCATAAGGCAAGACAGGGCCGGGTGAGGTGGTTCACGTCTGTAATCCCAGAGCTTTGGGAAGTCAAGACAGGAGTTCAAGACCGGCCTGGACATCATAGTGAGACCCCTTCTCTCTCTCTCTTCTCTCTCTCTCTCTCTTTTTAGTCAGAGTCAGCTGGAGTGCAGTGGCACAATCACAACTCACCACAGCCTCAACCTGCTGGGCTCAGGTGATCCTTCCTCCTCAACTTCCCAAGTAGCTGGAACCACAGGCATATGCCACTACACCCGGCTAATTTTTTGATTTATTGTAGAGACAAAGTCTTGTCATGTGGCCCAGGCTGGTCTTGAACCCTTGGATTCAGGCAATCCTCTCGTTTCCACCTCCCAAAGTGCTGGGATGACAGGCATGAGGTGCTGCGCCCAGGTACCGAGACAAAAAGTTAGCCAGGCATGGTGGCATGCACCTGTGGACCCAGCTACTTGGAAGACTGTTGAGGCAAGAGCACTTGAACCCAGGTGGTCGGGGCTACAGTGAGCTATGATCGTGTCACTGCACTCCAGCCTGAGTGACAGGGTCAGGCCCTGCCTCTAAAAAAAAGTGAGGCATATAGGCCAGGCACGGTGGCTTTACCTGTAATCCCAGCACTTTGGGAAGCTGAGGCAAGAGAATTGCCTGAGCCTGGGGGTTCAAGACCAGCCTGGGCAATTGGGTGAGACCTCATCTCTACTACACATCAAAAAATGGGTGTGGTAGTGTGCGCCCGTAGTTCCAGCTACTTCCAAGACTGAGGCAGAGGGATCGCCTGAGCCCAGCAGGTTGAGGCTGCGGTGGCCAGAAGCGTGCCACTGCACTCCAGCCTGGGCAACAGAGTGAGACTCCAACTCAAAAAAAACACAAGGCAGGACTTTTCTGGGGAAAGTACTGAGTGATGGGGGCGGATGCGTGTGTTGAAGGGAGAGGAATGCATTCGAACTGCAGTTCTCCTTCATGACAGCAAACAAAATGAGATCGATGAGAAGAAATACAATAGTCTTCTTGTTCTGCAAAGATCAAGTTCATTAATGGATGAATTAGCCGGGCACAGTGGCCCATCCCTGTCGTCTTAGCACTTTGGGAGGCGGAGGGGAGAGGATTGCCTGAGCCCAGGGGTTCGAGACCAGCCTGGGCAACAAGGCGAGACTTCATCTCCACCATAAGTCAAAAACTTAGCCAGGCGTGATGGCGCACGCCTGTGGTTCCAGCTACTTGGAAGGCTGAGGTGGAAGGATCACCTGAGCCCAGCAGGTCGAGGCTGCGGTGGCCATGAGTGTGCCGCTACACTCCAACCTGGGCGACAGAGTGAGACTCCAGCTCAGAAACAAAGATGTTAAGAGATGCTGGCCGTGATCAGAAGTGTCTGGACGCTGCTGGTAACCACTTTGAGCACCTCTTATAGTTGCAGAAATCAAGCTTGTATTCATCGTATTGAGTATTACAATTTTAGTATAGTTTATTCCTCTCTTAAAATGTGCACATCGAAGCTGGACTGCATTAAAAAATGTGGTACATACACACAATGGAGTATTATGCAACCATAAAGAAGGACAAACATACAGACTCTGCAGCAACTTGGATGGATTTAGAGTCAACCATTCTGTGACAGTGATCTATCACAGAAACAAAGAATAGAGTTCCATATGTTCTCACTCGTAAACGGACCTTGAACAGCTATAATACTACAAGAAAGGGATTGGCAGTAGTGGGAAACTGTCGGGGGAGGGGGTGTGATTGCCAGCTGAGGGAAACTGCTGGGGTGGGAGGGGCACACCTCATCCGCAAGGGTACCTGCATAATCAACGTTTGTATACCTGACCCTGAATTGTACCCCACACCTTTATAATAAAAAAAAAAGTGCAAACTTTTTTTGACACCCTATGTATATTAATCTATTGTTGTATATTAATATATTAGTATATAATGAAGTAATATTTTATAATTTAGCTTATATATGTATTATAGGATAATTATAAGTTAATATTATGAAAATTAGCATAAACGGTTTTATACTATTATTGGTATTAAGTTATTATTTAGTATGATTAGTATAAAATTATTACTATAAAGACTGATATTAATATATTAATTTATCCTACTGTTTTGAACTATTATTTAAAACTTTTTCATGTGCATAGTTTATTTTTCAGTCATATGGATATTTTAGCACACAATTGTAGATTAGATGCCCCCAAATTAACTTTTTTTTTTTCCTTTTTACTTTTTTTGAGTCGGAGTCTCACACTGTCACCCAGGCTGGAGTGCAGTGGCATGCTCATGGCCACGGCAGCCTCAACCTGCTGGGCTCAGGCGATCCTTCTGCTTCAGCCTTCCAAGTAGCTGGAACCACAGGCACGCGCCACCACACTCAGCTATGTTTTTTAATTTATTGTAGAGATGAGGTCTCGCCAAGTTGCCCAGGCTGGTCTTGAGCCCGTGGGCTCAGGCAATCCTCTCACCTCAGCCTCCCAAAGTGGTGGGATTACAGGCATGAGTCACCATGCCCGGTCTTGTCTCAGCCGTCCAAGTATCTGGAACTACAGGCTTGCGCTATTGCACTCGGCTATTTCTTTTTTTTTTTAATTATAGAGACCAGGTCTCGCCAAGTCACCCTACTCAGGCTGGTCTCAAACCCCTGGGCTCATGCAATCCTCTTGCTTCGGCCTCCCAAAGTGCTGGTATTACAGGCTTGAGCCACTGCACCCAGCCCACTTTTTAAAAGTTTTTTTTGGTAGGTCTCACTGTGTTGTCCAAGCTGGTCTTGAACTCCTGGCCTCAAGCGATCCTCCTGTCTCGGCCCCCCAAAGTGGTGGGATTATAGGTGTGAGCCACCACGCCAGCCTCTAAATTCACATTTAATGCCGCTGGCCTATCCATCTTCCGGCGTATTTCCTGCTTGTCACTAGCTTAAGTGTTCTCCCCACTGGGGTCATTACAATATGAAGCTCTCCTTTCAATGTCTGGCCTATCACTCAACACACAGTGTAATTGCTCAACCGTGAGCCCCAGGCAGTGTTTCCAGCAACAGCGACCGTCCCTCACGGGGTACTGGTCACCGCCTTGAGGCTCCTCTCCCCACCCCGCGCTCCCTGGGGCTCAGGCCACCATCCTGCCTACCTTCTGGAATAGCTTGTCGTCTGGCGTGGGCGTATTGGCCGTGCGGCGGAATCCTCGGACCCGGTGCTCAAGGGACTTGTCGTAGGGGTAGTTGGCCACCACCGCGCCTCCGTGAAGGTTGGCCGAGAGCACGAAGTTGAAGGAGCGTATCCACTGGATCACGGCCCGGGTCTCGGGCTCCACCTGGGGAGAGACCAGCTGTGAGCGCACACCGGGCACCGGGGTGTGGGAGCACGCCTGTCAGGATGTGGCCTGGACAGAGCAGAGCGTCCCGGCAGAGGGAAGCGTGCGGCCGGGGACACATGGCCTGGGGAAGGACGGTCAGCAACAGAGCGGACAGACCCCTTCCAGCATGAGAGCCTGTGGGAAAGCCCAGGACACACACGGGGGCGGCGGGCGCTCAGGCGTGGAAGGTGCATGGCGGGACACCGTGTGGAAACCCACCAGCACGCTCGCCCAGAAAGGGCACCGTGGGAACCACAGACTCAGGTGCGAATGACGCGTCATGCAGGAGTGTTGGGAACCCGGTCCTGCCGGCTCCGTTATGCTGTGAACCCAAAGCCACTCTAAAAAACACAGTTGACTTGCGAGTGAGAACCTGTGATGCTCAGATCTTTGTTTCTGTGAGAGGCCACTCAGTATTATAGACTCTAATTCCATCTAGGTTGCTGCGAAATTCATGATTTTGTTCTTTTTTATGGCTGCGTAGTAGTCCATCGTGTATATGTACCACATTTTAAAAATCCAGTCCTCTGTTGATGGACAGCACGGTTGGTTCCATGATCTTGCTATTGAACAGCTATCATAATACTACAAGAAAAGGATTGACAGTGGCGGGAAACTATGAGGGGGGTGGCCAGGGCGGGGAAGGGAGGTGGGATTAACGGTAGTCAATATCTGTCTGGTGATGGCTCAAAAAAAACTTCCTTAAAAATTAAAAAGAAAAGAGTGAGGGGGTGCGACTAGGGGTTCCGAGTCCCAGTGCCGCCTCTCTCTGGTTCCCCGGAAAGGGTGTCCCAATGGGCCCACTGTTCTAGTGGCTTCAAAGACACCTTGGAAATGGAAGGCTCCGGTCAGCACACGTGGACGCCACTTGTTTACGGCAATGGCTTCCAACGTCCCCCCTCCCCAGCATATCTGCCGTCATGGTAACACAGAACACACTCCTGTGCTCATGTCCGATGTCTCAGGATGGACATGCCGTCAGCCGCGTCCGTCTTGGCTGAGAAAGGAAACCCCGCCCTTTCGATCGCATGGCTGCCCATGAGTGGCCGTCGTCTGGGTTCACGTGGTGTGAGTAGCTCGTTGGCCGCCTGTGAGTGGCCGTCCAGGGTTCACGTGGACCTGTGGTGTGAGTAGCTCGTTGGCAGCCGTCGGGGTCTCCCTCCTCTCTAGATGGGCACGCTCAGGGGCTGTGTGGTGCTCACATACAGATGGCCCTTCCCGGACCAAGGGTCAGCTCCAAGGGCCACGTTGTCTCCATTCCAGAGGCCTGGGGTGAACTGAGTCTCACTTGGTCAGAAGGGATGTAAAATACCAAGGCTACCCGTCCTGGGGCCCACACCAGGGCCCAGACCCTCCAGGGCAGGGCTTTCTTCACGTCCTGAGCCTCTGCTGATCGGACCAGCCTGGACGGCATGGTTGCTCTTCTCAGCACTGTTCCGTCAGGAGAAACTGCTTGTTGCCTTACTTCTCCAAAGACTGAGACAGAGGACGGCACGGAAGCCTGATAATGATCGACTCAAGTGCCTTATTTTCCTCAGGGAAACAAGTTTTAGAAATCAGACCATCCAGCTGGGTGTAGTGGCGCACGCCTGTCATCCCAGCACTTTGGGAGATCAAGGATCGCCTGAGCCCAGAGGTTTGAGACCAGCCTGGGCAACTTGGCGAGACCTAGTCTCTACAATCAGAAAATTAGCCAGCCATGGTGGTGCACGCTTGTGTCTACAGCTACTTGGAAGGCTGAGGCGGAAGGATCGCTTGAGCCCAGCAGGTCGAGGCTGCAGTGGCTGTGAGCATGCCTCCGCACTCCAACCTGGGCGACAGAGTGAGACTCCAACTCAAAAAATAATAATTTTTTGAAAACCAGGAGCCGGGCTCGGTGGCTCAGCCTGTAATCCCGCAACTTGGGAGGCTGAGGTGAGTGGATTGCCTGAGCCCGCGAGTTCGAGACCCGACTGGGCAACTTGGCGAGACCTCATCTCTACAATAAATCAAAAAATCAGCCGGGTGTGGTAGCGCATGCTTGTAATACCAGCTACTCGGAAGGCTGAGGCGGAAGGATCGCCGGAGCCCAGCAGGTCGAGGTTGCAGCGGCCGAGAGAAATTGACCAGGCATGGTGGCTCAAGCTTGTCATCCCAGCACTTTGGGAGGCCGAGGTGGGTGGATTGCCTGAGCTTGTGGGTTCGAGACCAGTCTAGGCAACTTGGCAAGACCTCATCTCTACAATCAATCAAAGAATTAGATGGGCGTGGTGGTGCACGCCTGTAGTTCCAGCTACTGGGAAGGCTGAAGTGGAAGGATCGCTGGAGCCCAGCAAGTCAATGCTGGGGTGGCTGGCTGGGGTGGCCATAAATGTGCCACAGTACTCCAGCCTGGGCGACGGAGACAGACTACAACTCAAAAAAAAAAAAAAAAAGAAAGAAAGAAATCAGAATATCCTTCTGGCTGGCCATGCCGACTAGCCCAAAGTTATTTTCTGCTTGTTTTTTATCTGAGCCCAGAGGAGCGTGGCGGTCAGATATCCTACGTGCCAGCAGGCCTTTGGCTTCAATTTCAAGGGGCAAAACCTCGGAATATTTCGTCTGGGAAACTCCCCGTGAAAAGCCTTCCACCTGCTAACTTTTCTTTCTCCAGTCTCTGAGTTTAGACACTCACAAACAGAAGATTTAGACTGTCCCACCCTGTGTGAACACCAGGGGTGGCGGTGACACTCCGAGGATGACGGGAGTCATTTCAGGAGCAGACCCGGCGCAGGGGAAGACGCTCGCAGGACCGAGGGGTGCAGACCCCCCGGAGAGGGGTCGGGGCGTCGGATGAGGTGACGGAAGGAGCAGGGGGCGAGGGAGGCGTGGCAGAGAGTCCAGGGAGCTTGGAAAGGGAAGGGGAGGACTGTGAGGGCCAGACTCCCTGAGGCCCTTTCTAGAAATCGGAGTTTGAGCCGGGCCGGTGGCTCAGCCTGTCATCCCGCGCCTTGGAAGGCTGAGGTGAGTGGATGGCCTGAGCCCGTGGGTTCGAGACCCGCCTGGGCAACTTGGTGAGACCTCATCTCTACAATAAATAAAAAAAAAAATCAGCCAGGTGTGGTAGCACACACCTGTAGTTCCAGCTACTCAGAAGGGTGGCTGGAGCCCAACAGGTCAAGACTGCGGTGGCCAGGAGCGTGCCACTGCACTCCAGTCTGGGCGATGGAGTGAGACTCCAACTCACACACAAAAAAAGAAACTACAAAACAAAAACAACAAAAAAAGAAATTGGAGTTTGGAGCGCAGATCCACGAGCATGCCGCGTGATGGCGGGGTCTGGGCTGCTGTTCGGCTGTCCCCCCAGGGATGGACGTGGTCTCCAACGGGGAGGATTTCAACCCTTGCGCCCTCCCACCCTCTTCTCTTCAGGAATTCCCAGCATCGGCTGTTCCATTTTCTTTTTTTTTTTTGAGTCAGGTCTCACTCTGTCCCCCGGGCTGGAGTGCAGGCGCGATCACAGCTTCCGAGTTGCTGGGACGACAGGCGCCCGCCATCACACCTGGCTAAAATTTTTTTTGTGGAGACCAAGTCTCGCTTATGTTGCCTAGGCTGGTCTTGAACTTGGGCTCAAGCGATCCTCCCATCTCGGCCTCCCAGGGTGCTGGGAGTACAGGCATGAGCTACCACGCCGGGCCTAAATGATTCTCTCTCTGGGTGTAACCGCTATAAAACAGAGCTGGGCAATACTGGGTGAGGCAGTCACTGCCCAGGATGATGATGGCCAAGGGAAGCCAGCTGTGGGAGGACTGGGTGACGCCGTCAAGTACCCCGCGGCTGTTTGACACTGGCTTTGCGCCCCTCACCACCCCTCCACTCACGCGAAGCATTCAGTGAGCGTGTGTTCCAGGGAGGGCTCTTCCCTGGGGAGAAAAGAGACACCAAAAAGATTCAGACATGGTTATTATCACTCCGGACAGATTAATACACAGTCGACGCTTGATTCTCAAGAAGATCACGGGAACACAGCTTAGCCATCTTTCTGCAAAAAGTTCCAGAGGCAGGCCAGGCGTGGTGGCTCACGCCCGTCACCCCAGCACTTGGGGGGGCATCGCTTGATCCCGGGAGTTCGAGAGCAGCCTGGGCAACAGAGCAAGACCTCGTCTCTACAGAAGGTTTAAAAATTGGCTGGACGTGGTGCTGCGTGGCTGCAGTCCCAGCTACTTGGGAGGCAGAGGTGGAAGGATGGCCTAAGCCCAGGAGGCTGAGGCTGCGGCGAGCCGTGATCATGCCAGTGTACTGTGGATTGGGTGGAGGAGTGAGATCCTGACAAGAAAGAGAGAGACGGAGAAGGAAAGAAGGAGAGAGAGAGGGAGAGAAAGAGAAAAAGCGAGAGAGAAGAAGGGAGGGAGGGAGGAAGAGAGAAAGAAAGAAGCTGGGTACGGGGCTCGCACCTGTCATCCCAGCACTTCGGGAGATGGGGGCGAGGGCATTGCCTGAGCCCGGGGGTTCGAGACCCGCCGGCAACGTAGCAAGACCTCGTCTCGACGATAAATCAAAGAATGAGCCAGACGTGGTGGCGCATGCCTGTGGTTCCGTTCCTCGGAAGGCTGAGGCGGAAGGATCGCCGGAGCCCAGCAGCTCGAGGCTGCGGCGGCCGCGAACGTGTCCCTGGGCTCCAGCCTGGGCGACAGAGGGAGACTCCACCTCAAAGAAGGGGGGAAGGGGAGAAAAGAAAGAAGGAAGGAGGATCCCAAACGCTTCCTCAGCGCCCCCTACCTGGCTTTTCCAGTTGTCCGGCAGGGGCAGGTGGTGGTTGGGGCCCCCGTGCCTCTCGTTGTAGTGCGCGTAGGTGTTGAGGTCGGGGAAATTTCGGTTGAGGTCCACCCCGTTCGCGTTGCTCCTGCCAACCAGGTAGCTGGACACGTTGGGGCCCTGGAAAGGGGAGGCGGAGAGCGACGCCTTGGCGGGGGCCCCGTGCTGGAAGGCTGGAGTGCGTTTCCCCTTAGGCATGAGCGTAGCCTATCGGAGGTCGCACGTTTTCTTTTTTTTTTTGAGTCGGAGTCTCACTCCGTCACCCAGTCTGGAGTTCAGTGGCCCCTCCCGGCCCCCGCAGCCTCGACCCGCTGAGCTCCGGCAATCCTTCCGCCTCAGCCTTCCAAGTAGCTGGAACTACAGGCGCAAGCTACCACACTGGATAATTTTTGATTTATTGCAGAGATGAGGTCTCGCCAAGTTGCCCAGGCGGGTCTCGAACCCGCGGGCTCAGGCCATCCACCCACCTCAGCCTCCCAAAGGCGCGGGATGACAGGCTGACGTTTTCTTCTTCAAGTATCCACCGTCCCGTGCATGTGGCTTGCTGCCCTGTAGACCGCGTGCTGGGAGCGGAGACCCCAGGGGAAGCACCAACAAGAGGGAATTCCAGGATAACAGGAATTTCTTTCTTTTTTATAAGGAAACATTGTCTTTTATTGTAACAGACATGAATAGCCCCGCCAAGGCAAGGCTTCAAAAAATTAGTTGAGGCCAGGCGCGGTGGCTCACGCCTATAATCCCAGCACTTTGGGAGGCCGAGGCAAGAGGATTACCTGAGCCTGCGGGTTCGAGACCGGCCTGGGCAACTTGGCAAGACCCCATCTCTACAACAGATAAAAAATGTAGCCCGGTGTGGTGGCGCATGCCTGTAGTTTTAGCTCCTTGGAAGGCTGAGGCGGAGGATCTCCAGAGCTCAGCAGGTCGAGGCTGCGGTGGCTGGGAGTGCCACTGCACTCCAGTCCGGGCGACAGAGTTGGACTCCAACTCAGAAAAAATAAGTAAATAAAAATTACTTGAAATCTCTGAGTTGTTCCTCTCCAAGAAAATCTTTAGTAAAAGGCGAAAGATTCATACGATCTGAAGAGAAACCAGAGTATTAGAAACTTCTAATAAACAGCTTTGCTGGGATAGAATTTACGTGACACAGAATTCACTCATCCTAAGTGTACGATTCAGTGAATTTGAGAAGGCTGACAGGGTAGCATAACCAGCATCACAATCTAACCCTAAAACAATGCAGTCAGGTGTGGTGGCTCATGTCTGTCACCCCAGCACAAGGGAGGCCTAGGTGGAAGGATTGCTTGGGCCCAGGAGTTCAAGACCAGCCAGCCTGGATAACATAATAAGACCTCTCTCTATTACAAAAAGAAACTATATATATATAAATATATATATATATATAAGCACGTGTGTGTGTGTGTGTGTGTGTGTGTGTGTGTGTGTGTGTGTGTGTGTGTGTAAGTTAGCTGGGCATGGTGATACGCAGCTGTAGTCCTCGTTACTGGGAGGCTGAGGCAGGAAGATCACCTGAGCCCAGGAGGTCAAGGCTATGGCGACCTGCGATTGCGCCATTGCACTCCAGCCTGGGCAACAGACAGAATGAGACTCTGACTCAAAAACAACAGCAGCTGGGCATGGTGGCTCATACCTGTTTCTCTCGCCACTTGCCATCCCTCCCTAAACCACACAGTGTAGCCATATTCACACACATTTATACCGTAAGAGGTCATGTGAGCACTCGAGGGGTGATATGCAAATATCGCGCCACTTTACATCAGGGACTTGAGTCCCCTTGGATGTGAGGTGTCCTGGAACCAACTCCCATGGAGGCCAGGGGACGACTGTATGTTTCCACATAAGGTCTCATTCATAGGTTTCAGGGGAATCTGATTTTTTTTTTTTAAGATAGGGTCTCGCTCTGTCACCCAGGCTGGAGTGCAGTGGCACGATCATGGCTCACCACAGCCTTGACCTACTGGATTCAGGCGATCCTCCTGCCTCAGCCTCCCGAGTAGCTGGAACTACAGGAGTGCACCACCATGTCCAGCTAATTTATTTATTTTATTTTATTTTATTTGTTTAGTCGGAGTCTCACTCTGTCGCCCAGACGGAGTGCAGTGGCACGCTCCCAGCCGCCGCAGCCTCGACCTGCTGGGCTCCGGCGATCCTTTCGCCTCAGCCTTCCATGTAGCTGG